CCCGCGGGAGCGTGGGCACCACCCCCGTTCCCACCGTTGCCACCGAGGCCTCCATGGACGAAGCCACCAATAGCCTAGGCAAGCATCTCCAAGTCACAAGCTGACTAGCGCCGAGCAGCCAGCATCTTTGTCATCATCTCTGCATGGGTCATCGGAGGTGGTGGTGGAGGAGGAGGAGCTAGAAGTGGGGCCTCGTGGCTGTTCCCATTGGTGTTGCCATTGTCCTCATCGCGACCGTTATCACCCTGGTCTGCCCCAGCGCTGGTACTCCCCCGACCTGACCTCAGGTTCATCTATAAACAGATAAGAACCAACCATTAGGAACAACCCTCCAGATTAGGAACAAGAGACTTAGAGAAATGATAAGGCTTTTATTAAATCATTCTTTTAGGTTATCCTATCAATTCACTAATTCAAATTATACGAGTGGAGGAGTTTAGTTTAAGCAAGATTCTCTTTTCATGATGCATGCATCGGCCTACCTGTTCACTCAAGTCAGAATATAGCGGCATTCACAAAAATTTTGGGCACATCGCACACTCACTTTTCGCTTGCTAAATGATTCTTACTCAGCATAAGTTAGTGTACCTGCAAAAAAATTGATTAGATAAAACCAGTGCCGCTATCCTAGATAGACCATATTGTTAGGGCTTATACTTTTTACATAATTTTATCGCATCCTACTTTTTGAAAACATTTGTTGGTTAAATTTTAGATTTGGAAAAGAGTTATGAAACTCGTAACTCATTATTGGCTCTGATACCACCTGTGGCAGAACCACCCGAAATAACATGCTTTCGGAGGCTCTCGTCTTCCACTAGACACTAAGCACCTCTAAAGGGAGCTACATTGGACGGTTCCGTTAAGCACACCCCAAGGGAGAACTCGAACAATCCACATTTTTCATCCAGAATCCAATAATGAGAACGAGTTTACAATACTTAGTCCATTTCATACAACAAGAGTTCTCGGAAATACATTATTACAATACCAAGTTCAGAGTGTGGAATTTAAACAGCGGAATTGAAATAAATATCTAACGATAAGATATAAGGATCCATCTGTGCCCACCAGAAGAATCCTCCACACAATAGCCACTCCTCAAGCTGCACCTGCAACAGAGGTAAATAAACCCTGAGTACACAATATACTCGCAAGACTTACCCGATTTGTGGGAATAATTTCCCTACTCCAAAGGATCTGATAAGCTTTATGGTTTGCTGGGTTTCCTTTTTGCGAAAAGCATTACTAGTAGTGAATCCTTATGTATGTGTTTTATTAGCAGTTATGATTAGTTCATTAGCTAAACATTCTATGTAAGCATCTGTTCTACTTTCAAGCAAGAGTTGAGCAATCAGATCCATTCATCCCCTTTCATCTTCCAGTTATTACTATGGTGCTAGACCATAGCCAAGCCGTACCGTATCATACGGCGATTCATAAACCAATGTATCCCAGCTGGGTACCCCAAAACACACGCCCCACTTGTACCCCAGGCACAAGCAAGACCAACCCACCACTCTCCTATCAAGGGGTCCAGGCCCCCGTCCAAACTTGGACTCCAAGCCCCCACTCCTGAGTCCCGGACTCAGTGTGGTGCTTAGACCTCCACCATCCCCGCCTTCAATCAGTCAGTCCGAAAAGAGTCGAAACCCACGATAAGAGAGCAACGAGCCGTCCTGCTCCCATAAGCAAGTATGTGCTCAGGATAATAAGTTTGTGACCTGACTACCATCCACAACAATGGATGGTTCTTAACCGACATGGACAGGAAAAACAGTGTAACTAAGCTATGCCCCGTTGGCCACGGGACACAACCTATTACACCCACCAATACCTGTACCATATCCCTGCCGGTCTCCATTTCCTTTCATCATTTTATCATGAGAGTAATAATAATAATCACCTATTGTGAGTAACGACAGGTTACTCACACTACCGATAGACTAAGCATAGCAACTACTCGACCTATGCTAGTAGGACTCATAGGTAGGTTTATCTATGCATGTAGTTTTAATATAAATCCTCTAACGTAAATGCACATCACACACACACACATATATATAGTGATTATTCAAAATAAGGGTTATGCACCAGGGCTTGCCTTCGGCAAGCGGATTGTTAGCTATGTCAGTTGTCGGTGGCTCCGAGGCTTCCTCCTGTATGAGGACCTCCTCCTCGTACTCCTCGATCACCACCTCGTACTCCTGCTCTCCGGTGGTCACGGACTCCACCAACTCGTTCTCTACATGCATGCAACGATGATGTAACACTTAGCATTTATGCAACAACAACTCTTACAATAAGAATATGCATATCAAGGTACTAAGCTAGCTCTAATGACTAAGGTACTAATCTAACTATCATTTTTACCAAGCAAAGTGTTGGATTCAACTAACAAACACCTAGCTTTATAAATGAATGATATATCTTTATTCCTACTAATAATTTAATGCATATTTGAAATAAAGAGCATTTAACTACTCTAATGCTTAATCTATTCTAAACCTACAAAAATTACAGTGAGCACATAATAATATAATAAAGCTACCATAAAATTTTTAGAACTAAAGCTATCACCAATTTATCACAAAAATTCCTACAATAATTCTCCTAACAATATTAAACATTTTTAGATGATTTAATAGCTCCTGGTATCAACACGTACATATATGAACTAAACACACTAACAGATAGAGCATAATTTTATGAACTTAACAAAATTTGTTTCACAATTTTTAGACACCTACACGATTTTATATGATTTACCAAAGATCAGCTCAAAAATTATATTAGAAAACTATTTCTAATTCCTTATGAAAAAGAAAAATGAATTCTCCCACGTGGCCCACACGCGTGGCCCACGCGGTGCCTGCCCACGATGGAGACGGCCCACAGTCGACGACTTTGCAAAAGAGACCTCACACTTCTCCTGAATTACAACTAAGTCCTGGTGCTATTTTTCCTTCTCTCAGAACTTCTCACTTAACCCCCTGGCCTTTCCCTAATTCGCCCGCGCATAATCCCGACGACCCAGCGCACGACAGCGCGGCGAACGGCGGCACTAAGCGTCTACGCCGGCCACCTGGGACCTGCGTGGGCCCACCTAACGGGTCGATCGCCATCTCCGACCCGAGCGGCTACGCTAAGCGACGGTGAGGGTGACGGAACTCGCTGGGGAAGGCTGCAGCTGCGCGCGGCCATCCGCGACGGCGGCTCCACTGTTCCGGTGAGCTAGGGCAGCTATAGACCTAATCGGTTAGTGCATGAGCATCAGGAGGCTATCATGGACTAGGCAGAGGTGACAGTTAGGGCGGAGGATGATGGATGAAGGCTGGCCATGTGCGGTCGAGCTGTGTGGCGGCGCACTGCGGCAGCACGGTCGCTTCAGCGACGAAGGGGAGGCGATAGCGGTTCGACTAAGGCGCGCAAGGTGGAGAGGGAGTCAAGGCGATGCTAGTGGTGTAGGTGAATTGGCTCGGGAGGGACGATGTGAGAGCTGCCCTCACCCACGGGTTGACGCGGCCTTATCGGCACGGCGGCAGAAAAAACTCCAAATTGGAGCTTGGCCGTGCTCGCTTCAAAGCTGGGTGGGGTCGGGTAGCTAGGCAGCTGTGTGACAGAGCCAGCAACACGACAAATCGACTTGAGGTGATCTTTCCCTGATGAATTTAATGGCGCAGCTCCACGGCGGCAGCAGAAGAAGAAAGAGAGAAAGAGAGAGACGGGAGCGGCAGGTGGCTCGCCTCGTCCTCGCCTTGGTGGGACGCGAGCGGTGCGATCAGGACACCCACGCACAGGCACTATAGACAAGGCGTGCGCGCATCCAACCGACATGGCCCACGTGGCCGCAGTGTCTTAAATGACATGGCGACGGTGGCTCGGCCACGTGCACGCGGCAGCGGTGGCCTTGAACTGGGCCGATAGCGGCGCAGGGTTACAGCGGACAGGCGCGGACGTGATGACGATGAGACGGCAGCGGCAGCGTCGCGAAGCGAGGAGGGTCGGCAATGCGGCGAGGCAGCAGTGGGCGTACGCGATGGCAGCGTAGCGCGGCCATGGCGGCACCAATGGCGGCAGCGCGAGGCAGGGCAGCAGGGCGCAAGGCCAATGGCTCGCTGCGGTCGGCCTCGGCTAAGCCCAGGCGGCCCAACCGACCCAGCGTGGTGGCATAGGGTGACCGCGTGAGACGCGGCCATGTGCGCGGCGTGGGGAGGCCACGCGGTGACCGCGCACACGGCGCCAACCAACCCAAGACATGTGACGCGCACGAATTTTAAAGCGCCCCAAACGACTAAACGGTTGCTTCAGGAGCCAAACCATCTTCACCATGCTCAAGATGGCATATGAGACTACCAAATCGAGCTATAACACTACACCATCCTTTAACCCAAGCTCTCAAAATAATTTATTAAACATAGCAATATCTAGCTGTTGACAAACTTAGAAATTTTCAAAGTTTTTGAGCTGAACTTGATTTCAATTTGTGATGTCCAAGCTAGTGAAAATATTAGCTAGTAATATCATTTTTCGACAGCAAGTATTTCACTGTCATCTATAAAGTTTGTACTTCAAACTTTATTTAAGTATCACACACACGTTCTATAGTATTTTCGCTTAATAAAAAATTAGTTTTCAACCCTACTTGATATACATGGACTATTGAATCAATTTTCGTTTAACATTTTTATTGATCATTTTAAGTTACAAAAAACTTATCTACACACCCTATCACATGCATTAACATATAAACATGATGCTCATAACATGTTTTTGTAAATGATTTAGGGTGTAACACCTAAGGTGTTACACTAATCACTAGTCCTACTTCATCCAAACATGCCCTTATATAAGCACCCCCCATCGCGTAGATAGATTCGATCGAGCGCCGCCACCTCGCCCATCTGTTTCCGACGCCGCAGCACCCCCTCGCTTAGTTAGATATGGTGTTGACCAAGCCGAGGGATAGGCGCGCGCGCCTAGCGCGACTGAGGCTGCCGATGCGCCTCCGCTGCGACGCCTGCAGTCTACATCTTGACAAGGGCACCATGTTCGTCGCGTTTAAGGAGGACCTCACCGAGGGCGAGAGGCACATCGGCGCCGTCAAGATCTTCTGCTTCTACTTCAAGTGCATCCACTGCTCCGCAGAGATCGCCTTCAAGACCGACCCAGAGAACTTTGACTACATGGTCGAGGCCGGCGCCACCCGTGAATTGGAGCAGTAGTTACTAAATATTCGCTCTGTTCGCTTGAGCTTATTCAGCACTACTTTTCAGCCATAGAACAGTGCTTTTCTCTCATAATATTTCAGTATAAGCATCAGCATAAGCTAAATTTACTCTTTTCTTCTCTATAAATCCTCGAGATCCTGTCGCTCTGAATTAGGTCCCAAAAGATTATGCAGCAACAAATCGCATCTGTCGTTTATATCGTGTATATACAACTAGGTAATCGTTTCCAATCAAACAAATATTTATTTATGTGTTCAAGGTAGGTAGAATTAACGATGCCGTTGGGTAGCTAGATTTGGGCAAACCTGGAGCTTCCCCATGTCCAAACCCATAAGCTGTCTGTCCACCCCGCACCTCCCCATACTTCATCTCTTATTACCCATACCCAGTAGATAATTGGGTAAAGCATATGGGTATGGGGATTATCCAGAATACGACGGGTGACAGGCCAACGAGCGCGTCGTGGTCTGCCGGCTGCCGCAGTATTTTGTAATATTATATTATACAAATACAAGAGCAAGAAACAACCGATTTCAGTTCTCTAAAACACGTCTCCAAAACACTGAGTATAAATACAAGAGCAGTGGTATTCAGAATACGATGAGTTTTGTTCTCTAAAACACGTCTATGAAAGTATAAGAAACAACCAATTTCAGTTCTCTAAGTCCAACATAACTATCCGAAACACTGACAAAAAAGTATTCAGCCATGGCCATGAACTTTTAAACTATAACTTAGATTCCAACGTGCACCGACGCTAGTAAGATACTTACAAAGACGATTGATTCAACTGATGAACTACACTTGTATTAATTATTTCTCATGGTATTTCAGTCTTCCTTGCATTGAAATCCAGCTTCTTCTTTAGCCTCAGCTGAGAACATCTGCCTTCTGAGAACTCCTGACAAATGAACACAGAATCACGAGCAATGGTGTAATCGATGACAAAAGTCAACAACACTACAATGACCAGGGAGCCAAGATTTTTCTTTGATTCAGAGAACAGATACATACACAACAACTATCAAAACTCAAAAGAAGGCATCCAAGTTGTGTCATCCAGTTCGCAACCCCAACTACATCTTCGAAGCAGTCATAAGTCATAACAGTTGGTACAGCCTCAACTTTTCCTCATCATAAATCTTCATGCAATCATCTTTTCGAGAAGTTCGGTGCACCAATTTGAATGAAGGTTGCAAATTATAGATGAACGTTCTTGTATAGTAGTGTTCAGCCATGTTAAATGGACAGCCATGACCAAGAATCATTCTAGAGAAATCATCACGGCTTCGTTGTTGATCAAAAATAGGAATATCCACCCGTGGGCTCTTTCTTTTCCTTGATGACAGCAGATACCTATGTGACACTTCAAGTGACTTGTTCTACCGTAGAATGCAGTGAATGTGCATAAATTATTCAATTATGTTTCCTCTGTTCATAACTGATAAGCATATTTTGACTAAGGTCAGATTTCAAATTCTCTTACAATACGTTGTCAATTGCTAAAAGATTGAGGCAAATCCAAATTTTATGCCCTAAACTTTCATATAATTTGACTGATTATTGATCAAAATCTGTAAAATTTGATTTCCGCCCTCCATATTTAAAATAAAATACACCTATAATTCCTAGATGGAGGAAGTTTTCAATTGATTAGAGCATCTCTAATAGGCTACCTAAACATGCCTCCTACAGAGCATCCATGTATGCTACCTAAAAAACCTCACCTCGTCTCCTTTACTTTTATACAAGAACTTGTTCAATTAGTTCCCTTCCCCAAGAGGATTTCAACTACCTTCAATCTTCTCCAGTCTCCCCGAAACCGAACAGGTCTAAGTTAGATAGGTGATAGGTCGCATGAATAGGCTGGTAGATTGATAGCTTAAGTAGCATTACGAGTGAAAACAGACTCTGCTATCAGCTGGGTTCACTAAATTTGCACAAACATACATGAACCCGACGAAGACTTCATTTCAACGTATATATTAGACTTCATCTCCTTTTAAGTTATAATAGATCCCATGGCAGGCACATGCCAACGTGACCTTAATTAATGGTGTAATCTAAAAACATTCAGCAGATTTCTAAGGTCAGTGGTAATATTCAATTAGCTGCATTTAGTAATTTAAATAAAAGTCATATAACATATGTTCAGACTGGTTAACATCTACTCCCTTAGTTCTAAAATTTGAAATCATTTTGTTTTTTCTAAGTAATATAATTTTTGTCATATATCTAGGTAACATAATTTTTGCCCTAAATATACGGTGTGTTTAGATACATAGCAATGACTATACATAACCGTTACTTGGACTGGCACAAGCGCCATTCCTGTTCTACCTAAGTACCAATCCACCATAAACTAGCACAGATACCTGGATTAGCATTTCCAAGCCTTAACACAAACGGCAAGGAAATCACATCCTTGATAGACATAGGCATGACCCAAAAATTGCTCAGGGTAACACTACAAGTGCATTGTCAAATAAAACTGAATTCATGATAATAGCTGAGCAAAGATAGGTTGACATTCCTCATCAAGATAAATATTTGGATGGCTACATGAGCTTAAAATAATACAATAATTTGAAAAATATTCAACATTCAGCACAACAGTAAGGTTGACTGAGCCATGATTGAAATAAACTTGAAATATAATAGCAACATCAAGTCATCTAGACTAGATAACGTTGACAAGATGCAAAACATCCCTCATGTGTTGGTTGCCCTGGTGTATATCTGCTGGCTGGAATGAACAGAGACCATCCTTATGAGCCCCCTTGCCATCAGATCCTTAATGGCCCTCCGTGCCAAGGATCCATTAATCTGTGGATCAAAGGAAACAAACTTTGCTTTATTCATAAGCTGATTTAATGAGATAAATTGAATATACAGCACAAGCAAATAGTTCAACAAATAGCAAGCAACAAGTAGGAGAAACATATGCTTAGATGATGCACCAAATCAAACTCAACTAACACATTTGCAAACACAAAGGAAATAGCTCTGAGGAATGGAAGCCTTCTAGTATGGAGGGTAGTAATTTTAGCTACTGCATACAACCTAAGACTGATTAATGGCAAAAGAAAGCTGTATTGCACTCAACAGCATGAGAAACTACCATGAACATCCATGTAACAGGACTGGAAATGAGGTCTTACAAATGGTAAATAGACATGTGAGTGAATCATTCATCCGCAACACAATTCATGTTAACTCTGAGCTATTGATTGTAATAATAACCGAAATACACATGTGATTCTGTATAAAATCATCAAGCCTTCCACAGAATACAAACATATTGGACACTCCAAACTGATCTTTTATATACCCTAATCCCAAGTGATTGCACTGGTTGCAAACCATTTTATAAACAATCTAACCAATGCAAATAGCCACATAAACCGAAATGAGGCCTTGTTTAAATCCAGGGTGTAAAGTTTTGGGGTGTCACATCAGGTGTCACATAGGGGTGTCGCATGGGGTGTTCGGATACTAATAAAAAAACAAATTACAGAATCCGTCAGTAATCCTCGAGACGAATTTATTAAGCCTAATTAATCCGCCATTAGCGCATGTATTATTGTAGCACCACATTGTTAAATCATAGAGTAATTAGGCTTAAAAGATTCGTCTCGCAAATTAGTCGCAAACTGTGCAATTAGTTATTTTTTAGTCTATATTTAATACTCCATGCATGTGTCCAAACATTCAATGGGACAGGGAGTAAACTTTAGGGGGAGAAACTAAACAAGGCCGAAGACAGTATAAGCAAATGCTACATGACAGGCCACAAACATGTATCCTGCTTTCCTACAATCGTATCCAACCAGCTAAACAAGTTCTACAGCCCACACCAAAATAAGCATGATGAATTGTTTTGAGCCACACAGAAAATTTATCTATGCAAAACATCCGGAATAGAAACCTGTATGATGCAAGTCTAAACCCATCTACCTAAAACATAAGAGACAACACAAACGCTCTAATTGTACAGGAGACTACAGTATGTATCGCTAACCATTTACTATACTATCATATCATTTGGGCAATCACGCCGAGTTCATTCACTAGATGCTAAACATACAGGTCACAACTACCATATTGAGGCTCTACGTCAGGAAGGCAGTTAGGTACACAGCAGGAATCGATACATAGTTCCATACATGTGAAGCCGTGAAGGCAATGTAAGATTACCCTGAGGCGCTCGGAGAGGACGGATGGGGTGATCTGCTTGTACTTGGGCACCTCGGAGAGCAACTTGTCGTAGGTGGCCTGGTCAAAGAGCACCGCGTTGTTGACCTTCTCCTTCTGCTTACCCTTGCTCCACTTCTTCTTCTTCTGCTTCCCGCCTCCGGACTTGGCCGGCTTAGACGACGGCGGCGGGGCCTTCTCCTTCTTCGGGGCCTGAGAGAACAACCGAAACGGTCAGCAACAGACGGTCGGGCCGCGGGTGCGTGGAGAGGAGAGGAGAGAGATGCACCATGGCGGAGGCGCGAGGCGAGCGACGGGGAGGAGGGTGCGGCGGCGGCGGCGGGAGGCGATGCGTATCGGGGCGAGCAGCAGGTATATTTTAGCTTGCAGCTGCAGCTGTGGCTGCAAGAAATCAATTGATATCTACTGTAGCCACAACTAAAAACAGCCACAGCCACAGCCACAGCCGCAGCCGCAGCCAAAAAAGCTGCAGCGAGCAGGCTGTAGGGTTTTGAGCTGGTGATGCGTGCTCTCCACCGTCTGATCCGATCGGAGGGCTGGAACTGCATTTTCGGGGATGCATATACTCGTTTACGCCCCCTTGTCTGCAAAAATTGAAGCACCACCCCTACCACTGCAGCACGTATACATGCAGAGTACTCCTTGTTCTATCTATTTATTACATAACGCTCCCTAAGAAGGACTGCACAACACAAGTGCACATGCAAAAGTTTTAGGAGGGTCAAAATTAAAATGTAGCACAGCCTGGCGTTGTTATTCAGTTCCAAGGTCCAAGGGGT